ATTGACCTTCCTTCTTCAATATTGCTACCAAAGGCAGCTCTTGATATAACATCTCCACCTAAGAACATAAATTCTCTTTCCATATCCAACTCACAAGTCTCTGTTTTGCTAACCAATTCCTCCCATCTGCTTATCATTTCCTCAACACATGCACAAAATGCTGATGAAAACATCCTCTGTAAAGGCAAACACAGACATAATCTAATTAACTACTACTCTAATAAATAAGGTACATCTTTATCTTATCAAATCATTCTATTAGAAGATTGTATTGGAATAATAAATCCAAGATGTGGTCCTTTTGTTAATTACTTTTATATAGACGTTGTCCATATATAAATAAAAGATGTGTTTAACTTTTAGAAGCCATTTCTTAGAGCAACGGTAAAGTTGTATCAGTGTGACATATAGGTCACTAGTTCAATCCGTAGAAGAAGATATTAATGCTTGGATTAGGGCAGGGGCGGATCCAGCCTATTATATGTAGGTTTTCGGGAAGCCAGTAGCTTTTGCGCATACCATGTATATGTATTAAAAATTCATTAAATATCCATAAATATTTGATTGTGAACTCAGTTACTTATTGTATATTTACTTAAGGTTGCTATACCAACACGTAAACTTTAAATCATGGATCCTCCTCTGCATTAGGGTATGCGTTCTACATTACACCCTTGAGGTGTGGCTCTCTCCCAAACCCTACGTGTAAATACGAAATACTTTGTACATTGGGTTGTGCTTTTTGAAGTCACATGACCAGATGGCCTATTATTTTCTATCAAATGTTTGAATCTAATTGAATCCTTGCAAGAAATTAAGACTAACAATTAACTACTACTCATACCTTTAACTTGTCAATATGAAAGGCAGGAGTTACTATCTTTCTATGGGTGGCCCATTTTTCTCCATTGTAACCAGCAAGTCCAGTCACAAACATCTCAATGAAGGCATTAGCTTCAGGCTTGTGGAATTCTTGATGTTTGTTTAATAATTCTCGAATTAGCTTCGGATCTGTAACTGTAACTCGAGGTGTCGGTCCAGCCCACATCACAAAAATTTTCTCTGCAATCATAATATTGTTATTAGTTACTGCATGGTAGTCGCGTCAGAAAGTTAATACTCCCTCAGTCTCAAATTACGTTTCACTTTTTATTTCTGGTGATTCAAATTATGTGAACTTTGACCATCATTTTATAATACAAATTTTTCAATCGTATTGACATATTGCTAACTTATACTACTTTTAGTATACAACAACAACATCAACATCAACAATCCAATGTATTCCCACAAATGGAGTCAGGGGAGGGTAGGATATACGCAATCTTACCTCTGCCCTGGACAAGTCTACTTTTCATATAGCTTTTGAATATATAATTTTTTTTTAATAATAAAAATTAATTTGATGGAATCCATTTTTAACTTTAAAGATTAGTCAAATTAACTCTTGAACGGCAAAAAGTGACACTTATTTTAGGACATATTGCATTTGTCCATTTCTTGAATACAAATTATGTGAACTTTCACCTCATGCATATTGACATGAGAAGAACTGCAACTTATAGTACTATTTGTATTGTTTTTGAATACCCAAAATTTAGTTTTAAGATATTAAGTTGATTAAATCCACTTTAACTTCGAAGATTAGCCCAAATTACTCTCGAAAAGGAAAACATGACAACGAAAAAGGGATCGGATGTGAAAAGGAGAGTTAGAAATTTGGACTTACTGTGATTGTTAGCAAGATGTTGAAGAAAAGGATTAAGCCAAGGCATGATATCATGGGTTAAAGAGAGAGGTTTTGACTTAGCTTCTTTAGACATTCTCATCATCTCTTTAAGATTTCCAAAGAGAAACTTATAGGGAGGGCCATGTATTCCTTGCTTTTTCAGCTTCTTCTCCATCATTTTTGGCCACCACCATATTTTATACAGAAATTTAGCACAAACTATAGCCACAAAAATTCCAAATATTGTAGAAGCAATTAGTGTTACACCTGCCATAGACTTCTATAAGCTGAATGTACACAGTGAGGATATCAAATTATAGGAAAGAAGGTGGTCTTTCAAAGAGTACTAAAGGAGGCTCTATTTAATAGTGAAACTGAAAAGGAAACTAGTCCTACGTTATTGGATTATTGTCTGCTTCTACGACAATAACAACAAACATAACATGTAATAAAAAAGAATCATGACTAAAATTTTATATATATATCACATGTACAAATCCAAAAGAATTAGAAAACATTACCCTACACAACAAATATACAGTGTTTTGACCATTCGTCGTTATAATAAATTTGTATGAAAGTTATAAATAAATTGTAAATAAATTATATATTGTATAATTAGTTGTATAAAATTTATTTTAAAGATTTATGTTATTATATATATTAAATTTTGTATCAAATTTGTATAAAAGTTGAAAAAGGTATATGTTCGTAAATACCTTCGTTTTTCTTTTCGGTTTGCAGAAGTTATTAATATCAACGGATATTTGGCATGTCACAAGATTTATTCTGGAAACTTCTTTCAGATTCGAAAATTGATGTGAGTCAATTTTAGAAAGTAGTAAACTTCAGATATTTCAGGTAAATAACTTTATAATTTAGTATCGAAAAGAACCCCTTTTGATATCATTTGAGAAACAATTGGATTATTTTTAAGTAGAAGCAGAAACAATTTTGAAAAAGTAGAAAAAAGTAATTTCTCTAAAAAAAATACTTTTTTTGAAAAGCTCTTTTGAGAAAATTCACTTAGAAATACTTTTTAAATGCTTGATTAAATATTAATTACTGCTTAAAATTACTTTTCATATTAATTCGCTCAATATAAACTGCTTCATACAAAAAAAATATTTAAAAAAAAAATACTTTTGAAAATAAGCTAATTTTTAAAAGCTAAGCTAAATATGCTATTAATCCAACACCTTCCACCTTCAACTCTTACGTAGAGTTTGAGTCACCAAGGGAAAATAAAGGATGTTAAAACAATTCCAAAATTGATGTAAATATTTTTCAAATATCAAGCAGAATTTTCAAAGTAAAATAAATGATGCTTACACAATTATATTATTTATAAGACGACAAAATATACACGAATTTTCTGGGTCTGAAAACAAATGAAAAGCAGCCTTGGTCCCACGTACCCGCAGATTCCTTTTTTTTGTTTGTCACTTGGTGTTCAGTACTTGTATTGGAGCTCGATTATATCCAGATTCGCGCCGTATAGGGCCTCACTGGAGGTAAGCGCTCCCTACCAAGAATTTTTTCATATCCAGAACTCGAACCCGAGACATTTACTTAAGGAAACAGCAGTCTCATCCACTGCACCACATCCTTTGTTGGTTACCTGCAGATTCCTTGTTATATAAATATACTTTGGTTGTCTCAACAGTTAATGCC